AATTCACGAATTTGGAGCTGTGACTGCATATTTAAATTCATATACAGCAATAGCACCATAAAAGCAGCAGTACAGTGGCCCTGTCCCCCTGGGTCACCTTCTCATGTGCCCTCCTCTGCTCTGGATCATGAGGGTGCAGCACTTGCAGCCTGCAGATCTCACACACGTCTCCATGGAGATAGGAACAGCTGTTGCCATAGTGACACTGGCCAGCGGCCGCAAAAGGGCAGAGGGGTGGAGCATCGATGAAGGGCCCCCCACTTGCAGAATCGTCCAGGCCGGTGCGGACGGCATCCAGGTAGGAGAGGGGCTTGGCCTGAGCAGCCTCGTCACCGTACTCCCAGGACCCAGGTTCGAGGGCCTCTGCAAGCCGAGGTACGTCCCGTACTGCCCGGGCTTCGGGGCACAGAGCTGCAGGATGGACACACACACACATACACACAAACACAGAATAATGAAGTGTTCAGAAATGTAAAACACTAAAGAAGAACACAAGGTTAAAGTCAAAGCATTTTTCTGAGACCTTCATTTTGAGACCATTCAGATGTAGCTTAGCCCCTATGTACCATGACACTGTAATGCCCCCTAGTGGCAGACTGTTACTATGAAAATGCAGTATTTCCAGTCCAGTCACCGAAAAAAAGGTAAACAATACAGCCATAAAGAGGTATAAATGAATGTGTCAGTGTATGACAGTATTTCTTCATGACTAATAAATACCAAGTTCAGCCCCACGGTATTTTTGCTAAGGAACACTAAGAGGTGAATCGCATATAACTGAGAATCAGGTGTGGTTTCAGGAAACTTCAATCACCCCTGTCTCTCAGGACCAGCGGCTTCTTGCCACGCGTGCCCGAGCCCGCAGGGGGACCGTTTCCTGGAATGGGGGCCCTTACACCACTGCTCCTGTTTGCTGGGTCACCCAGAGCACCCCCTCCACGTCCAGCAGATGGCTTGATGTGATCATACCTACAAAAATCGTCAAATGTATTATTCTGGAAAAGATAACTTACAGAGTGATGAATTAGCCCTTCAGATAACATGCTCACTTCCCCTATGTCACATAACAATAACCATGTTAATGTCCTGACAGAAAAGTCATTCACACTGATTTGCTTGAGTTCTCTTATATGCAGGAAGACATTCTTCTGAGGACATCTCTAACCGAATCTCACAGCTCCTATGATTACATTTTATTTCAGAGTTAATCAAGAGGCACATCATAAAATGTATCAATGATTAAATTATAAAACAACACACATCTATATGGATAATATTTGACTACATATAATAAATAAAAATATTATCACGCGATAGATTTTAATATGAAGGAAACTTGTACGTTTAAACAAATGCTAAGATTTACCTGCAACGATCACCATAGGCACACACGCCTTTCTGGAAGAATTTACATATTGTGGATGGTTTGCTTGTGGCCAAGTCATGAGAGAACATACACCTGCTGCCCTCTCGGCAAACGCCATGCAGGAAATACCTGGTCACAAGGCAACACGTGTGACCGCGGTTAGGGATTCCGAAAGAATCCATGCAGAACTTATATCACAGACATCAAAAAAACTGCATAAATCACGTCAACTGGTTCATTTAAATACCAGCGTAAACTGGATATATAAAAATCACGCTGTTGTCTGGACAGCGTATGCAAATGTTATTGATCTGTTACGGCAAACCGCGCAGATCCGTTAGCAATATGCTAGCAAAGTAGATGCACCTAGATAACCTAGACATCGAAATCAAACGAGAAAAACTAGCGATGTCGAACACACTGAAGTAAAGTACATTTAATTAACTGCATTAGTGTGCTATATAAGCCAGCCAGCCACTGTCTACTAAAATGAGAGCTAGCTACAGAGATTATTGAGCTAGCAAAGCTATCTAGTGATACGGCATTTTACTTTAAGACAGTAAAAGCTCTATATTAGACAGTCGTCAAAAGAAACTTGTTAATGAAGTTGTAATACACCAAACAGAACAAACGAGTAATATTTTATTTCCAAAATCACCTGCAGGTTACTTCTTTTGTGGACATTTCCCCTCTTCCGAGGTTTGTAGCAGGTCCTGCGCAGGACCTCGAACTGCTCGTGCAAACGTGACCTCCTCCAGGCCTCTCACTGGCTTCTCATTGGCGGGCTTGCTGACCCGTCTTTTCATTGGTCCCTGTGGTATGATGTAACTGCCTAGTAACCGCGTGTCCAGTAAGACAACAAAGTCCATCGCCCTTCATTCATTTACAGGCCGTCGTCCATTTACGACCGTGGTCGGTTCCGACTGACCGGTCCTTAAGTCGGCCCTTTATTTTATCTGCAAAAATCATAGGCCGGGTGCACATAGCTGGCACGCAAGTACGCATGCACTATATATCGATATGCGCTGTCGTAGCAGCGCAAATGTGTTTTTATTTTATGTGCATTTGCGCTATGACAATAAATCATTGTGCATTTTCGCCTTTATACCGCGAAAGAATTAGAAATTAGCCACATAAAGATTAGAATACACGGTAATTTTTTGTCACAACAGTGTGAAAGCACATAAAATAAACAGACATTTGCACTGCCTCGTCAAGAAATAGCTGCACGTATTACTTTATACGGTGAATGCTTACTAATTATTTGCACCCCTGATCATATGTATAGTATACAGTATAAGAAAAGTAAATCATCTTTAAGACATATTGTTTGGTGTTTTTAAAACTATCATCGTCTTCTTAGTTCGTTGCTGCCGGCAGTTGGGGCAGAAGCTGTCATACACTCCAGGTAACATTCGTCCTGCCAAAGTCAGCGCAGTAGTGGCCATATATTTGCGGTCTCGGAACAGTCGCAAAGTCGATCAGTCGTAAGTCGCAATGGTCATAAGTCGACGACGACCTGTACTCATTTATCTGACGCGACTTACAGTACAGGGAAGGCTCATAATTTATGTATGCTTCAATTATACGCGACGGCGCATCTTGTAAATAAATAAATGGTGATGCACTGTATGCTGATTTATTACATTTAGGTATTTTCTTAATTATTTAGTTTACAGAAAGTCTGTCATATTCTACTCTCAGTTCTTAATAAGCTAAACAGCTATTCGGTATATTGGCGTGAATTAGCTCAATAGTTAGACATATTAGAATGTTTCAGGAAAAGTAGAATAATTCGATATGTGAAAAAGTACACTAAACCAAAAACTATAATAACGTGCCAAACCACTCCGGGTAGTGATTTTCATTTAAATACAGTCCTTGACAGCTTTATGTAAAATGCAGGTTACTGATAGCTATCAGAATATTAAATATAGGCTATACAGACATAACGGTATCCCTAAACCATCAAATAACAATATTCGATCCTAGCGTTCCTGAATTTTTCTTTTCTCGCTGAATGATAACGAATGACTAAGTCATATCTGGAACTGAATACCGAGTTCACATACGTATCCTGACTTTTGTAATAGTAATCTTTTGTAGTAATTTATTTTAACAATGTCTACACGGATGGAATATCAGAAAACACATTTCATTGTGCCCAGTTAACAAATGCAATGGCAAATAAAAACATAATCGGTTATTCGACTTCCTAGACTGCTGAGAGACACTGATCGAATGCCCTGCTAAGCGACGTCCTGTCTTCTTTCTGCATGCGTCTTCGGGTTTTCGAGTGGCACGTTCATTGTTGTGACGATTAAGGACATCCATCTTGTTGCAAGCTGTCAGATAGCTTTAGACATTAGTCATTAGGTTTTCAAACAACATTCCAGGCATGACTTGGCTAAAAATGTACTTGTTTGTTTTCCTTGCAGTGAGTATTCTGAAATGTATCCCAGTTCAAAGACGACAATATAATGTTCTTGTGGTCCTAGCTCCTCATTGTCCAGCTTTCATATCTATTAATAAGCACAACAAATAACATATTCGGAACAATTGTGATATTATTTTGTGGAATTTTCAAGGATCTTCGTGGCTGCTCTACCAAGTGCCAGTATTTGTTGCCTGCTAGAGACCTTGATGTTGATAAAACCGAATAATGAACTTATATAAATTAATCTGAATACTATTTTGTACTAGGCTATTTGTATTGTTCACTAATTAAACGATATAGCTGAAGGTAATCTAATCCATTTCACACATATTCGATGAAAATATCGACCTTTGCCTTGCAACTGTTAGTATACAGTCGTCCTTCGACATCTCCCGCTTCGACTTTCGCGGCTTCACTCTATTCATTAAAAAGTTGATAGACAGTGAAAATG